GTTAACCTTAGGTGTAAGATTATCGTCGAACGTAACACGTTGGAATTTTATGAATTATGTATTAAAAATCATTTCTTCCCGAGGCAATTTTATAAAACTTTGAAATTCAGTAAATTACAACCAAATATCTCTAATCTTGTTCGTCTTACAAGGTCACATATAGAAAATGTTAAACAAACGTTACAAGGACTACTTGTTCTTCATACCGATGCGTCACTTATTTTATCTGAATTATCAATAATATATCACATGAAATTTCTTCAGTTTTGTAAAGACGTTACTCAGAAAACAAAGACGAATACACAAAATAAGTTGAAGAGTTCAATTGATGATCGAAACCGCGTAGATGTCTTTCCGGTGAATCCTGATAAGTACGTTACAAATCTTTCTGATATTACTCTATCTACTCATCAGAAAGAAGCTTTATACCTTGGACTCAAATTTTGTGTTTCTCGCACGCAATTTACAGATTTAGCCATCCAAACTGAGTTTGAAAACTTATATGACTAACTGAAACCTCTTGCCGCAACATCCTATGAAGGCCAAGATGGTGGATACAGCTCACCAGTTTTTAAACAGCAACCCAAAGGAGAAAAGTATTTTAAATTCCCAGCATTTCAAAGCCTTGAAAGAGCTACGGGAGAATTCTAATATAATTATTAATAAACCTGATAAAGGTTCTGGAGTCGTCATTATGAATAAAAGTGATTACAAATCTAAAATGATGTCTATTCTTGATGATAAGAGCAAATTTAGCCGTGATCCCTCCTCAGAAGATATTCAGTTGTTGCAGGGCACAGTGACAGCTAATCTACTCAAGCTTCATGGCCTAAATGCTATAAGTAAAGATAAACTTGACTCATTAAAACCATCAGATTGTAAATTCCCACATATGTATGGGTTGCCAAAAATACATAAACCCAATAATCCTCTATGTCCTATATTGTCAATGTGCAAATCCCCAACGCATAAACTTGCTAAATGGTTAGTAGAATTACTGGATCCAGTCAAAACACAATTCTGTAAGTACGTGTTAAAGGATACATTTGAATTGGTTGATGATCTTGACGATAGTAACATTAATATTATGAATAAGAATATGTACTCTTTTGATGTAAACTCGTTATTTACTAATGTGCCTTTGATCAAAACAGTTGACATTTTGTGTGATTATATTTCCACAAACAATTTTTTCATCCCGTTCCCTATATCTTACTTAAGGGATTTATTACTTCTTGTTTTGCTCAAAAGTGTAAACAAATGGAGATATCACAAACAAGGATAGCATCCAAAGGCGAAACGTAAATGTCTTTATGTAAATAGTCCATTGCAACTATAACACATTCCGTTTGCACTAAACTCATGAAATTATGGCTACATCCTTTTTAGGAATGTATTGTCTGCTGCATCACATGAATTACTAGTTATTGCAGCAAACGATCGATAACTGAAATCCAACATATGCACTTCACATAGTATTACAAAACGATGATGATGATGATGATGGTGCATACATAATGTTTCCTTTCGATTTATTTACAAAATAACAGTAGAGCCTTCACAAGTTACACAACAGGCTTAAGATTATGGCAATCACGTAGGAATAACTACGACTGGAAGTGAAAATACTTCATCGGCTACTAGGATTCCAACGCAGTTTTCGACCATTGCAAGCACCATTCCACCACTGAGAAACATTTGGAAATGAATGTGGCTGAAGCTGATCGACAACATGAGCGAATAAGCACAACAAACACATCGGTCTAGGCTTCCAGTCATCTATAACTCCATGACCATGCCATGCAAAGTATTCGTTATATGCGGTGTCATTACGGTCCAAATACTTGAGATATTCAGCAAGCTTTGCAGGTGATTCAAATTGATCTACATGGATGAATGAGTGAGCTGGTGAAACGCGTTCATACTCCTCAACTGACGCCCCCATAACAACGGGAACTATATTATTCCTGTGACAGCAAAATAAATAATAGAGAAACAATCTGTTAGTCGGAGGAAATGAGTAGAAGCAGTCTGCAGACTTATAAAAACCGTCGGATTACTTGGAGAACAGCAGAGAAAACCAACATTGTCATGTCCATCCACATTCGGTTTTAAAAGTGGTTAACACACTGCTCACAGGATTTATGTAGGGAGATTTCATATGGTTATAGAATTCGGCATAAGTATTCGACACGGACATTCAAAACCTTCATGATTCACTGACTCAGTGAGAAGTGTTTTCGTTATTCATAATTTTACTGCTTGTTGTTAGACATCAAAAGTGTTTTACGATAAGTGCGAGAAAGTCTCTTTGTCACCTATTTATCGCTTGCTCAATATTTGGCTGTAGAATCAGTCGAGTTGTTGATCGTCGCTTTAGACCTATATTGTGTTGTCACTGTGACAGATAAATAAGAATTAGCTTGTTCCCAGCTGGATGTGTTCCTTTAAATCAGTTGATGTAGCTCTTCTACAACAAACTTAACAACCAATGATAATCCGTCTGCTTTTCTTGTACACTGCTTCAGATCAAACTAAACACTTGTGACATCCAATAATGAAGCACACTGTGGGAATCCTCCACTGTGTTTCTTGTAACATAGAAAAAATATTAAGAAAAGTATATAAGACAAGGCAACATTCCATTTATTTCGCTTACATGTAACCATTCCTGAAAAGCTTCTCCGTTATATAATCCGGACATAAGCTGTTTTCAAAGCTTAGGTAGAATTTGTAGTCTTTCTCAAGAAGCTTGAAACACTCAGTTTCTGAAGTTCTCGGGCAGCTCTTTGTACCACATCTTCCATAAATATCAATCTAAGATGGAAACAATGTTGACTCATTGTATTTCTTTGGGATATCAAAAGTAAAAGTTATTATTAGATTGAATAGAATCCTATTGTAACATGTTGGTTTTCTAATGTATACAGTCATTTCTGCCAGGGTTAATACCAACTTCAACAAATTTACAGTGTGTTGTCCATTTGTCAAAAAATTTACAAAGCTTGCACCTTATTGAGAGACAAGATAGCTGTTTTCCTATGTAAAACAGGGGGCTTCGCATTCTTCAGACATGATAACTGTGCCATGAATGATGCACAGGTAGAACACGAATCTGATTCTCCTGATATACGTAGATGGTTGAAAACCTATGCCTGTTTTGAAGACGCCTATTTGCTACTCATTGTAAAATTTCTTAGAATTTAAAATTTCTTAAGTCAATCAATGTTAATATTGAACTTCATCTTAATCGATGCAAAGTTAAGTTTTTCCAACATTAGGAAAAGCTGTGTGAGTGGTTACTATTGATTGTTAAGTTGTAAAGACAGAAGACAATGGCGAGTCAGCAGATCGTTCATTGAGAAAATCAGCAGATATTTATTGACTTTTATGTACATTATTATTATTATTATTATATCCTTTAATCCCTAGAGGAACATAGGGCTTCAGCTGCCCACCTCCACTGCCTTCTGTTTTCTGCCAACTTTTTCACCACATTCTGACCACATGCTTTCATCTCCTCTTCACATGACCTCATCCGAGTCACCCTTGCACTGAGGACCAACTCGCCGCCCGCTTCCCTTTCGGGTTCCACTGGAGTGATGGCTTGTCTAGTGATGTCACTTGATGGTTTCCTCAGAGTATGCCCAATCCACCTCCATTTCTTCCTGCCTGTTTGTTTCACAATCGGTTCCTGCTGTGTTGGTTCGCTCATTGCCAGACATCCCACCCTGTTGCTGATCTTTTCTGGCAGGCCATCTGATCTTGAGTAGTATTGAGCGAAGACAACTGTTACTGAAGGTCTGAAGTTTGTTTGAGATACTCTTTATGACGCGCTGGCCAAGTCTCTGATCCGTATGTTAAGTAGCACTGACTTCACATTGGATTTGAAAATCCGGCTCTTATTTTTGATGCTGGGTGCTGTTGACCTCCACACAGACTTGAGAGTAATGAAAGCCTGACTAGCTTTTCCGATTCTGGCTTTGATATCCTCGTCAGTTCCGCCCGCCTGTGGTTGAAACTATGCTTCCCGTGTCGGTAGGTGAAGGAGGTTGTTTCTTCCAGGTTCCTCCCATTTATGCTGGCTGATTGTTGTCTGTTGGTATTGTTCAGGAATCTTCACCACCTCTGTTTTATCTATGTTCACCTGAAGGCCTATCTCCTCTGGATGCTTCTTCTTCCAACTTGTTGCTTTTCACTTGCATATCTTCCAGTTTGTGGCAAATCAGACATATATCATCGGCGAAGTCCAGATCCTCCAAGTTCTTTTTTGTGTGAGTCCATTTTATGCCTGTTCCCTCGTTGGTTGCCGTTGTCTGTCGCATTATCCAGTCTACTGCAAAACTTATGGATGATATATACTAATAATCTAAGATAACCTTATTTCCTCAATGATTATCTGGACGAAATAGAGTCAAGAATTGAAAACATTTGTTTCCCGATGCGAATTTGTACACTTGTTTGTTTGAAATAGGGTCAATCTGAACAAGAAGGAAGACAGCTAGCTCGGTTGATATTAATTCGTTGCATAGTTTGGTCGTCGTGTCTTAGGAAGACGTAGTTAACAAGGCTCCCTTGAAATAAGTTCCGCGTCTCTTGACACTCTTAAGCATTTTGTATCACTGAACTTGAAGAGACCAATGAAGAGAAGATTTAAATGTGTGACTATCTCTTCACCAGAAGATAATTTAATGTAATGCAAGTTATATCTTATCACTGTCTTCAAGTCATTTCTGTAATCCTGTCTATAAACTATTATTTCCACTCAGTATTCACAGATTTAATTAAATAAATAAAATCAGCCGAACATACAGAAAAATATTAAAATATTGATTTGTTAGCAATTCTTACTAACGAATAATATGAATTGAAAAGTGGAAATTAGCTACCATTATAAAAATATCATTATACGGAAAGTGTATTTAACAAATAATCCAGTGAAACACATTTTTAAAAGCAATTTCTGCGAGTACTGCAAACAATGACACACACACACACACCTTTAAATGCTTTGACAGCTCCTGCACATATTGATTTCTTGGACTTTTAGCAAAACAATTAGTCACAAACCATGCAGCCATTTTAGTCTTCCCAGTAGCATAATTACGAGAAGGAAGTGGATATCTTGTATCCGGACCATGAGTTGGATCGATTGGCTTATAATTATGATACGGAAGGTAGACTGAGGAATCCGTTCGGAAGGTGATTGTGTAGTTTACCTGATAGCAAATAATAAGCATTAGTATTTTGCTAAATTTTTGAGTCTAAGAAGAAACGATGGTATAATTAGCTTATATAATAATAAAGTCGTGGGAAAACTGTTTAATGTTTATAGCGCTAGGGGATAACTGGCCCCAACTTTACTACTAACAGTGAACTGTGGATGTAGGTGTATGCGGGGCACAGGTCAATCTACTAGCACTTACCAGAATACTTTATGGTATTGTTTCATATATAATTTTTCTTATATTCATCTCTAATTTACCTTACTACCTGAAATCTCCACAAATAGGCTACATTATTTTTAAGTCACTCCCTTGATTTCAGAATGAAGCTTTTCTTGAAGGTTGAATAATCTTTTTGGCAATATTAGGACAGAACTTGGACACTGCAGTAGAGTATAATTCCATCATAGAATAAATTCATTTGATAAAACCATACAGTGATACAGTAATATTTACTCATAAAGTTTCCAGCGCAATTTACTGCTCATAATTATATCAAGACCTCATCAGTGAATGAAAACTTATCACTGTCTAGCGACAAGGCCTAATTCAGGTAGGTAGTAACCTGGGTTATAGTGAGAAGTCCTGACCAGTGGTGTACAGCAGGTAGGGTGTGGGAAAAGCACTCACCGAAGACATCAGCTAGTGGTTTCGCTTAGTTGTGAATTGGCAGTAGATGGAATTCATGGGCTGGTCATTTGGTCGTGTAACAGCTGCTTAGTGGTTTACGAGCTCGCCTAGTGGTCAAAAGTGACTCGGTTCGAGCGCCATTGGTGGGTGCATACTGATGAAGAAATCAAAACCCTGCAAACTATCACTTGAAATGTCTAGTTTTATAGAAGAAATTTATTCTACAATGGAATTCTTTTGCTGTTTCCACAAATTCTGTATCGTAGTTCTTTCTCTTTTCAAAGACTGTATATTTGAATAAAGTAAGAACATAAGTTTGTGCAAAATGAGAGGATACTATTGTTTATTTTGTTGGCTTTTCATCAGTTACACTCAGCCAAAAGAAACTACTAAGTTTGTATACAAAACAATTTTAACATATTTGCAAATTTCATATGATGTCAGTTGATAGGAGGCTGAAAACTTGATAAGCAGTGCTCAGAAATTACACCTATATAGCTTACACACAGAAAGTGTGTGCATACATGAATAAACGCTTGGATGCAATGGCAAAAGAGTTACGAAGTAAAGACAAGAGGTGGATGAGTAATTCGTACCTCAAGTAACAGTCTGGTGAATCCAACTCAAATCATAGGAAGAAGAGACAAGCAAAGTTACGTTACGGCGAAGGGATAGAGGTTAAAGACAAAGATTACGCAATCGAATGAAAGAGAGTAAAGATAGTCAGTTGTTAGTGTAAGGAAAGACTGATATCTGATTTCTTCTGAACACATCAGTTGGATTTCAGGCGTGTGATAGAGATCGCTTCACCAAACTCCAGGAGGACTGAGCTATTTTGTCTATCAATAATTCTGAAGGATTTCATGGTGTCCACTTCATGACCTGTAACCGGGCGACACCTGATAATGGCACTATTGAAAGCGTCTGCTCCCTTGAGACACAGGCTTTTTGGTAGATGTTAATGAAAATTGAGGTGTGTCCCTCTTTTTCTTCTCCAGATGTGACTGTCATCTGAGATAAAGGTGACACAGGAAAATGTTTCTATGCATAGACTTAATAATTTCTGTCGGCTGAACGCAGCTGATGAGAAGCCGATAAAATAAACGATGGCATCATCTTATTCTGCACAAACTGTTGTTCCTGCTTCATTCAACTTCATAAACGGGAAAAAGTGTATGAACACTCCGCATAACTCACGCTCAACATACTTGGAACTTTTCTTTCTTTCAATTATGGTTTCTGCCAGGGTTAATACCAACTTCAACAAATTTACAGTGTGTTGTCCATTTGTCAAAAAATTTACAAAGCTTGCACCTTATTGAGAGACAAGATAGCTGTTTTCCTATGTAAAACAGGGGGCTTCGCATTCTTCAGACATGATAACTGTGCCATGAATGATGCACAGGTAGAACACGAATCTGATTCTCCTGATATACGTAGATGGTTGAAAACCTATGCCTGTTTTGAAGACGCCTATTTGCTACTCATTGTAAAATTTCTTAGAATTTAAAATTTCTTAAGTCAATCAATGTTAATATTGAACTTCATCTTAATCGATGCAAAGTTAAGTTTTTCCAACATTATGAAAAGCTGTGTGAGTGGTTACTATTGATTGTTAAGTTGTAAAGACAGAAGACAATGGCGAGTCAGCAGATCGTTCATTGAGAAAATCAGCAGATATTTATTGACTTTTATGTACATTATTATTATTATTATTATATCCTTTAATCCCTAGAGGAACATAGGGCTTCAGCTGCCCACCTCCACTGCCTTCTGTTTTCTGCCAACTTTTTCACCACATTCTGACCACATGCTTTCATCTCCTGCTCACATGACCTCATGACATTATGTACATTATTATTCGTTATTGTTAGCAGAGAAACAGCGTCTTCTGATTGGTTGTTTCCCTGCTGAAGGTTATTCTGTCATTTCTTTGTTGCCGTTTCTTAAACAGTCTGTGGCATGCATATCTGCGAATCGTATCCGCCCACAGTAAGTCTGCTGCGATTGGTTGTTGGGTTGCTCAGGGTTAGGCTTTGTTCTTGTTTTTTCTCATAACTCCGATGCGGAACGTAAACATTGACGTGAATTGCTGTCTACCAGTTCTAGCTAGCAGACAGCTCTCACCACAAAGTAATCAAAGGAAACATAGAACTAAGACTTTAACTAGTGCATGTTATCATTTTATGGAAGAATCAATCTTGTAATATTCCGTTTTTTTGAGAACATTTCATGGACTGAACTACTAGGTGGTTAGAGGTAAGTGGCACGATTCCCTAGACACAGGTTTATTGTTTATTGGCGTCCTCTGACAGCGGAGTATTTTTATTGCCCAAAGAACCCGAATAAATTTAAAGTGTATGGCAACGGTAAGTTATTCAGCACAATAACTGCATAGCAAATAAGAGTGATAGAATCCAACCCGCATATGAGAAATCAATCATTTAGAATTTATAACTCACTTTGTTGCCCAAGTAATCGGCGATACTCACATGAAGAGGAGACTCATGTACAAAAATGAACCATAATTGATTCGGTCGCCTTTCTCCATGAGGATAGGTCTGGTCTGTTAAGATGACAATATCAGACTCTTGCCATTTGGATCTATCAAATGTCAGTTCACATTCACAGGCATGACATGAAGAGAAGTTACTAATGGTAGTTATCTGAATTCTACCATAGTTCACAATTAATTTTTTCTTGATCTGAAATTGATGAAAAGAAAATAAAACAATGTAAATTTTGAGTTTAGTAATAAATTTTTGCTTTCCTTAAATCTTCGTACAAGACAGATTTCTTCTGCAGAAATCTGTATCATAATTAGTTCGATGTTCACCAGAAAATTAAGACACATTACTAGTTACGTCATTGTGCATCAGAATAAAGATTCACCTGGGTAACAGGCGTAATCTGAGTTCATCCTATGTTACTTCGCACTTTCTTGTCAGCTGGTTGTAACGCAAACAAAACGAAAGTACAAAATATGGGAGAGCGGGAAAAATAAACATCCTCCGCGATGCTATGTAGTATTCATAAAACCACTTAGACGAAGAAGAATTATACTTTGTAGGGAAATGCCTGCATGGTACGCATATTGTAGAAGAGGTGAATCACAAGGCTTTCTGCAGCATTCCTTCAAAGATGATAACATGGCAAGCAGAAAAAGATACGCAAAGAAAGCTGCATTGAAAGGAACATATCCAACTGCAACGATCGTTTGCTTCAATCGAAAACAGAGTTGCTTAGGTCAGCGAAACCTGGGGAAAATTATATGTTATATTAGCTCAAATGGCACTTAATAATTTACATATACGTGCCAATGCACATATACTGGAGTGACAGAGAGTTGCGTTATTGTCCGATTTCTAAACACAAACCAAAGACACAGTTTTCGTTCAACAAAGGAATATTTCTTTTCGACAACGTTGCAAGTGTGCTCTCCGTAAACGAGTAGATGAACACTATCCGGTTTAGTTAATGAAAGATGAGCAAAGGACTACGAAGTCTTCAATTTGTGAACACCTTCTGAAATCAAGTCATTCAGCCCCACTAGCATTATCCTTCAAAGTTATCAACAGGAGTAAATCCGAACAATTTAAAAGCTTCCGTTTTCTCCAATTATGCATAGCCGAAGCACTAACTATACATGGCGAAAATCCTAGATGGTGTGTTCAAGAACCTTCCGTTAAACCCTTCTCTTTGCCTTGGTCATATTAATGTTTTTTTATTTCATTATCCTTTACCACTTGAACTCATCCCACCTCAATTCAACTTCACCGTCTTCAACAATATCATCATCGTACACTCTGATTTCTAAGTAACACGAACTGTAATTTTATAATCTTTATACCAACCAGTTCAGTTGTTTAATGATCATTAACGCTACTCCCTCAGTACATCATTTTAATTATCTTTATTCTCATCACATGTAAGTGGACTGAACAATTTCTAGTGCCATTCAATGCCTTTTTCCGTAATATAAATACGACTGCATAGTTGTCTTGAAAATGAAATCGTTGTAAAGGAATATTGCATCGCTGATCAAAACGTGTGTCTTTCCTTACAAACCAGAGAACCTGCAACTGTAGGCGACGGAAGTATTAAACAGTGTGATTAGACACTAGTTATACTGTGAAAAATCTGATGGCGTTTAAAATAATCAACATGTATAAGGAACCTAGTCTATTCCATTTCGCTAAAACAATCGTTATCAAGCGGTTGAATTGATACCTGTGTGCTCAGAAAAACAACAACTACAAACACCACGCTACCTTGGTGAATTAAACGAAGTAATGCAGTATTCGTTACGCCCTTCATTCTCCATTATCTCCTGTTATGTAGCTTCATCTCAACGTTACTCACCTTCATGTTCTTACATTACATCATCGAAATTCATTTTCTCTTGTTATACAACATATCGAATCGATATGCTCGTCATAGTTAAACTTCGACACTTCCTAAATATTGTAAACGCTATTTTTCCATCAAGAATATTCGTCTAATCATCCTTCAAATAGTCAATCATTCGAACTCCTAATGATGCAACAACTCACATCATTCCAGCATTATCCAGGCATTACCTATGCCTCAATTCAGACACTCGATCTCATTACATCAAAACTTATGTTCAAATATTTCATATAATTTATATTTTGTATCGTTCGAGTTGCAACCAGATAAGAAGAGACTACCAGACAATGAATCATGAGCTCAAATTATCCTGCTTCTTATCATTACTTTGCAATACTCCAGAAGACTTTTGATTACTCACTTGTGATACTTCAAATATTCCTCACTCACACAGCTTATAAATCCGTGAATAAGTACACTCATGACCACGAGTCGATGTTCAATCTCAAATGAATTTCGAGACTTCAAATCGACAAGCATGAAAACCGATCATACTCCCGTCGAAAACGTTCCCTCTGTGTTGGCAAGCAAAGTCACTTAATCAATTCACCGTTCAACTTACAATTCATTAAATGTCTGTCAACGATAATCAGATGGTCAGTCGACAAATATTTCAACTCAGTCAAGAAATTAACAAAGTTATGCTGTTGGACTCTAATCAATCTCCCGCCTGGCAATTTTCTCTCTAGATATCCTACGTTAGGAGGTGATTTGTCTCACTCTTCCGATTAACTTATAATTCATTCTTACAATTATATACTATCCCTGTTAGTATTACTATGAGAATAGTCCAGGTCTCTAGTTACTGGTTTTTCCCGTAATATCCGACCGATGTGAAGAGAATATTACGTGGTGCATTAGTGATGAACTACACTGCATCGAGACTGTTGTTTACAATAAAGTCGTCATCATCACCGTATTCTCCAAGTTGTTTTCAACGAATCGACCTGTGTAGACCACTGAAGGTATCGAAATTAGACGACTCGAGATAATTCTACTCAAATCTAGAGAGGACAAATTATCTTTAGTGACTGACTGACTGGCCCATACATAGATTACGGAGAGTCTAAGTGAGAAGTCGTGATTGTTGGTCCCAACCGAGTTGGAGTTGAAACTGACTACAGTGGATGGAGATGTAATGACACGGAGAATTGACAATGACGAGTTATAACAGAAAACATGAGACTATCATCCATAAACTGATTCGAAACCTCCTCGCTTACAAAGACTGAGGAATGTGGTTTCGATCGCTAATGGGGTCGTGGTTATGTACTGTGAACGATTCTCATACCGAAGTCATTTCATGAAATGTGAACATAATGTGTGTTAGCAATAAATCAGAATAAATCAACTTACACCAGACTCTCTCTTCTTATTATCGTATAGATTCTCGAGATACTTCTCAGTAAAGCCCAGAGTCAGTTTGTTCTCATTCCTTTCCATTTGTGATGAAATATATCGCTGTTTCGTTCTTTCTTCTTCTGACTCCAATTAGTTGGAATTCTCGATGAATTTGTGACGAATGATTTCATACTTTGTGTTGGAAGCGCTGAACTCAACTGTTCAGATTGCAGAAAATTTCTCCTAACTACGTAATTCAGACACCACAAAAGTGTTACAATGATCCCCAAAACGAATCCAACCTTCGTTTTATTCATTTGAATATTTCGTTAACTGAACGTTTTGCGGTTTTATGCGAAGTAACTTTGAAAGCAAAATGAGGGCCAATTAAGAAACGACCAATGCAAATGGCTTAGAAGATAAAGTCGATCATAATAAAATTAACAATCAACAATGAATTCATAAGGTCATATATGAGAACGGTAAAAGAACGAAGGGCACACATTGATTGGATGAATGCTATTTTACCTTGTGAAACTACTAAAGAAGTGCAACTTAGGACTATGCTATGCACATTGCTATAACCAATGTAGGCGGAGTGGAGTAGAGAAAGAGGTATTCTTCGGACAACTGACTGGAAATAGCAATGAACGAGACTTTAACCAGTTGGCAACATTGGAATTCTGGTGAGCGGTGTGAATGCCGATCAAACTAAAGCATGAACAAAGCAAGAACAACAATTGTACCAGGACTTTATGAGCTCATCTTTTATTATTTCGAGGATTCTTCTCAACTAGTTACAACCTGAACGTTAAAAAATGTAAATTATATTAAAGATATGAACATACTTTTCCACTATCATAAGGAGTAATTGGTAGGAATTAAAAGTAACATTAGTCCGGAATGATTTAACTGATTAGGAGTTACAAACACTGACTATTTATAGAATAATTAGACAATTAGGCTTGGAAACAAAAAATAACAGGGTTGCGTATATATGTGTGTGTATAGAAACAAGGTTTAACTAGAAAGAGTATAACAAAAGAGTAGATTACGCAACTAAAGAAACCATCTTATCTAAAGCAGATAACACAAAGAATAACTCGTCATGGATCGACAGGACTCCCATGAAATCAGTGAGAATGGAGAATACTTTGTAGAAATCCTAGCACGTTTAGTGATTTGGTGATTGGGAGCAGTGTGTGCAAGCGCAGATATGTCCATCAGGTAAAGTAGGCTTTCCCAGACGATACAGAAAATTCAAACAGGGTTCATCTCAATCTGAAAAAAGTGAAGATACAGACTACTTGACACAAGATTGACGAACGAAGCCGACGTAGGCTTTGACCACTACATAGTGCAAGTAACCTTCAAGACCAAGTTGGAAACTTTCAAAGAAGCTGGAGAGAAACTACAGTTCAAGTTCACGAAATGAATGGACTGTGTTACAAGGGACACCTTAACGGTAATCATCAGGAGGATGGTGAACTAGACGATATTAGTAAGAAGAGAACATGAAGTTCAGCAAAGATATCTTTTCGGCGATTTCATTCTCAAATCGCCGTACAATCGCATTTATATAGATTATTTTACATGGATACAATTATTATTTGTTTAATTCCACATAGTAATTAATGAAGGTGATAATTGTTTTCAACTTGATATGAATTACAAGAGGCTTAGAAACGCAAGGATAGAACGAATTACATGTGTGAACAAAATGAGCATGGAAACAAATTGAAATCAAAATTTTCAACTTGAAATGTAAGGTAGGAAGGAGGTGTGAATATAGATTACAAGAAGCATAGAAACAAAAATTACACAGGGTTAGAATATAATTGTAAAATTGTTATTCTAAACGGATTACAAATGTATAAACTGTAAATTATAGGGAGTTCAATCTACGATTCAGTTAGAAAATGTACAGACGGCACTAGCTGGGCACTAGGAGTGGACAGGCAGTATTGGCTGAGTGTGCAATCGATCAAGCGAAAATTCTGAGAAGTACTACAGAATACCTAAATGATGAAACAAAACAGATAGATGAAACATTCGTGCTACATAACTAACTACCTGATGAAATTTACTGAGAAGTTCAGTAACAACATAATGAAAAATATCAGTGGAACCACTGACCATAATATAAATAAGGAGTTTGACATCTGAAACCTTACATAGGATACCTGATAAAGTAAGGATATGTATGGGTGGTATTTAAACCCACAAACTCCTACAAAGTCATTCAGTGGCAAGTTCTGTAGGCTAAAGGACTCTATTCAGACAATATATGAAAAAGAAATGAATTTTTAATACATTAAAAGAAATCAAATTTCACTTTTAAGTACTTACTATTAGGATTTTTCCTTCTTAGTAAGCTGATACACAGGCGTACTTCACAGTTACATCCACCAATATTTATCATATTTGAAATTAGTTCATCGATCCTATTTGGTTTCAAAGTCTACTATTTCACAATGCCTAATAAAATTATCCGATTCTGTTATATTGTGTGAGTAAAGGAGTGTACAGACAGATCATAAGCGTCTTTTGATGTGAACTTATCCAACAAAGTAATAATAATTGCAAATATAGTAACAGTGAATGTGTGGAAAACTAATGAGCAGTTTGGTAACCATAGTTATACTTGGATACTTATTATTTTACTCAAGTCACTTTCAATATTAAAGCTGACTGAACAAACTTCTATAGACCAAGGGGCAATCGAACACGTTACTTCCTACCCTTAAAGGTCATTCACTTCATCAATGACTCTACATTATCGCCAATGCCAACAGAATTGTTTACTGTAGTATTAATTGGTTGCAGATGGAAGTAATTACTGAATAAACTCACCTGTCTTTGCATAGTTGTTTCTGAAACCTATAAAGTATACTTCATAGCATTGTCGTCATGAGGAGAAATGTATACGAAGGTTGAATTTTAGTAAACACTGTGAAACTAACATTTGAAGCGAATTGACTTTCCATTATTATCACTATTTTCATTATTATTACTATTACTGTTACAACTGCACATTTTTACAGTTGTTAACATCACTCCTATGGATGTTTATTTAATTGTCTTTAAAAGACACTTACTGCCCACTTCCAAAGAAGGCTTTGCAGCGATTCCACAGGGTGTAACCTTACGGCTATCACATAAGCAGGCGGAAATATGGATATCTTTGATTTTAAATGGTACATCATCAGTCTAATGAAACATCACGTACAAGCATAAATATTATTTACATTTCATGCTGTTTATTTCATCAAGAGCGATTTATCTATTAACCTGTTCATTAAAAATGAAGTCTATTCTGATATTGTCTTGATAAGTTCCCTCTGTTTTCTTCTCTTTCCTCAACCAAATCGCATAATTAGCAGATGTTTTTTGATCAACACAACGACCACCACCACCACCGCCGTCGCCTAGTCTACTACCTCACTAGATTTCTAACTAATCTCAAATCCGGGAGAATAAGGAGGGTTGGGTGTGAGACTAGCGAACCCACTCTGGAAAATGAATTCAATCTCTAAAGAAACTTCAAAGCACATGGAAAATATAAAAGACAAACTTATTCTTTGCTGGAATCTGAGAGGCGAAATGACACAGAGAGTTGGTCAAAGACTTTGGGAAGCCAGTCAGCCAGTAAATGCGTCTTCTTTTGATGAGAGCTAAACTAGGCACTGGGATGTTGAATGTTCGTACAGTGTATGAAGCTAAGAAGGCTGTTCAGGTAGCCAAGTAAATTAGACGGTATGGCATGAAAGTGCTGCGAATCTATGAGAGTAGGTGGACTGGATGTGGACTATCGAAATTGTCAACTGGTGAGTCAGCAGTTTACTCAGGTCACCCAGACGACAACCACGAAAACACTGAGTAGCTATCATGATGTCACCAGTCGAGGTCGAAGCTCACATGCGGTGGTAACCGATCCCCTGCAAGGAAAGTTACAATGCTACGCGTAAGCGAAAGAAGCAGACTGAGTGGAGAAGAAGAAGAAGAAGAAAGACAACTGCAAACAGTAATGGACAAAATCTCAAATGGTGACATCAAAATCCCCTTGGGCGTTATGATTTATAAACTGGGAGCAGAAAATACAAGAAGATAATTCATCAAGGGACGAGAAGCCCCTTGCAAACTCAATAAGAACGGAGAACCCCTTCGTAGACCACTCAGCCTTCAGTGATTTGGTGACTGGAGGTAGCGTGTACAAGCACAAGGATGTACACAAGCAACACGGATTTTTGAATTGAATTTTTGATTTTCCCGTCGATTGATTGGACCGAAGTGCTCGGTCTCAGGTTGACATGTCGGCTTCTTGTGCAGATGCTTCGACGATGTCTGGGTATTTAATTAGTATACAATTGGTGGATGGTGGCTATCAGTGGAATCCAGGATGCGCATTTCGTCCTATTTGGGACTCGTCAGCTGGATGTACCTGCATTTCTCAGTGAGTGATGATGTTCCCAAGTGGTCTAGTGGATAACGCTTTGGCGTTTGAAACTATGGGTACTGGGTTCGAGCCTCGGTGGGAACATCATCACTCACTGAGAAATGCAGGTACATCCAGCTGACGAGTCCCAAATAGGACGAAATGCGCTTTATCCTGGATTCCACTGATAGCCACCATCCACCAATTGTATACTAATTAAATACCCAGACATCGTCGAAGCATCTGCACAAGAAGCCGACATGTCAACCTGAGACCGAGCACTTCGGTCCAATCAATCGACGGGAAAATCAAAAATTCAATTCAATAATTAATATGACCCGTTGCACAAGAGGTGGCTCTCGTGGCCCAAGTGGTCTAGTGGATAACGCTTTGGCGTTTGAAACTATGGGTACTGGGTTCGAGCCTCGGTGGGAACATCATCACTCACTGAGAAATGCAGGTACATCCAGCTGACGAGTCCCAAATAGGACGAAATGCGCATCCTGGATTCCACTGATAGCCAACATCCACCAATTTTCAACACGGATTTTACCTGACGGATGCATCGAAAGTCACATAAACTTAATCTCTATTTCAAGAAAGTGGAGACACAGCCTTCTGGACAGAAAGTCGAGAAGGGAAGCAAATGTGTACTCAGAACACCATCTAGTTCAAGAGACCCTCAAGGTCAAGCTGAAAGCATTCAGTACAACTGTAGACAGAACACAATCAAAATTTACCACTCGGAAACTGCATTCATCAGAGCGAAGTTGGAGACACTACGTGGCATCACTCAGGAAACCTGCATGGAAGAACATTGGAACTAACTCACTGAAGGTGATGTTCAAGGGAACGTGTACAACCGGTCTAGGAGGAAAGAAGATCCAAGACAAGAAATTACTCTCAATGGCTACCCGTAAGCTAAAAGAAGAGAGGGAAATGATGAAACAGAGGATGGACCAATTCGAATATGGACGACAGGAGAAGGAGAAGCTAAGTTCGACGTACACTGAACTGAATAGAGGAGTGATGAAGAGTGCTAGGAAAGACAAAAGACAATTCTATGACACACTGGCTGGCAAGTGAGGCAGAACAGACAGGCTAGAAGTAGACGAGACCTCAGAAGATCATATCAGACAACCAGGTATTTAGAAAATCAAACCAAGGGATTCAGTGAAGACACTTTTCTCAACCAATTTATTATCAAGACGTACACTCGTATAAATATGGTTTCTATGAAATAATATCCGGTGAGGGAATTGAATCATAGTTGTGAATGCATAAAAAAAATAATAGTAGCATAAAATGCAACTAAAATGTTCGTGATTATACCGAGTAGCAAAACACTTAATGTCATATATAGAAAAATTCATAGGAAAATAGGTGTTCGAAGGGGGTGTTAAATTAGAGTATTGGTAGGTGAATAAAATAAAAATAAAAACGTCACATAAAACTGTGTGAAATTTAGTAACATAGAATTTATCGTTGCAAAACAAATGACTTAGAATGACAAGTGGGATGAGTGAGATAATACCTAATGACGCAACAACGCACATCATTCCATCGTTATCTTACCCATGTCTCCAGTCTGACACTCGATCTCATCACATCGAAACTTATGTTCAAATATTTCATATAATTTATATTTTTGTATCATTCGGGCTGTAAACACATAACAAGAGTCTACAAGACAATGAATCATAAGCTCAACTTATCTCGCTGGTTAGTATTGTGGTGAGAGCTGGCTGTTAGTCAAAATTGGTGGACAGTAATTCACGTCAATGTTTATGTCCGCAATATTGGTCGTGAGGAAAATGAGGACAAAGGCTTTGCGTAGGCGGATACAGTTAACACATAGATGATCTGATATTCAAGAAATAACCACAAAGAGATGCAAGGTTAACTTTCTGTGAGAAACAACCAATCAGAAGACTGTGTTTCCTGCTAACAATAATCCAAAATATGTACATGAAAATCTATAAATATGGGTTGATTTCCTTAATGAACGATCTGTTGCCTGGCCCTTGTCTTCTGCTGTTACAGTATTACTTTGCAATACTCCAGAAGACTTTTGATTACTCACTTGTGATACTTCAAATATTCCTCACTCACACAGCTTATAAATCCGTGAATAAGTACACTCATGACCACGAGTCGATGTTCAATCTCAAATGAATTTCGAGACTTCAAATCGACAAGCATGAAAACCGATCATACTCCCGTCGAAAACGTTCCCTCTGTGTTGGCAAGCAAAGTCACTTAATCAATTCACCGTTCAACTTACAATTCATTAAATGTCTGTCAACGATAATCAGATGGTCAGTCGACAAATATTTCAACTCAGTGAAGAAATTAACAAAGTTATGCTGTTGGACTCTAATCAATCTCCCGCCTGGCAATTTTCTCTCTAGATATCCTACGTTAGGAGGTGATTTGTCTCACTCTTCCGATTAACTTATAATTCATTCTTACAATTATATACTATCCCTGTTAGTATTACTATGAGAATAGTCCAGGTCTCTAGTTACTGGTTTTTCCCGTAATATCCGACCGATGTGAAGAGAATATTACGTGGTGCATTAGTGATGAACTACACTGCATCGAGACTGTTGTTTACAATAAAGTCGTCATCATCACCGTATTCTCCAAGTTGTTTTCAACGAATCGACCTGTGTAGACCACTGAAGGTATCGAAATTAGACGACTCGAGATAATTCTACTCAAATCTAGAGAGGACAAATTATCTTTAGTGACTGACTGACTGGCCCATACATAGATTACGGAGAGTCTAAGTGAGAAGTCGTGATTGTTGGTCCCAACCGAGTTGGAGTTGAAACTGACTACAGTGGATGGAGATGTAATGACACGGAGAATTTCAGTTTTAGCGAAATGGAATAGACTAGGTTCCTTATACATGTTGATTATTTTAAACGCCATCAGATTTTTCACAGTATAACTAGTGTCCAATCACACTGTTTAATACTTCCGTCGCCTACAGTTGCAGGTTCTCTGGTTTGTAAGGAAAGACACACGTTTTGATCAGCGATGCAATATTCCTTTACAACGATTTCATTTTCAAGACAACTATGCAGTCGTATTTATATTACGGAAAAAGGCATTGAATGGCACTAGAAATTGTTCAGTCCACATACATGTGATAAGAATAAGGGTAATTAAAATGATGTACTGAGGGAGTAGCGTTAATGATCATTAAACAACTGAACTGGTTGGTATAAAGATTATAAATTTACAGTTCGTGTTACTTAGAAATCAGAGTGTACGATGATGATATTGTTGAAGACGGTGAAGTTGAATTGAGGTGGGATGAGTTCAAGTGGTAAAGTATAATGAAATAAAAAAACACTAATATGACCAAGGCAAAGAGAAGGGTTTAACGGAAGGTTCTTGAACACACCATCTAGGATTTTCGCCATGTATAGTTAGTGCTTCGGCTATGCATAATTGGAGAAAACGGAAGCTTTAAAAATGTTCGGATTTACTCCTGTTGATAACTTTGAAGGATAATGCTAGTGGGGCTGAATGACTTGATTTCAGAAGGTGTTCACAAATTGAAGACTTCGTAGTCCTTTGCTCATCTTTCATTAACTAACCCTGATAGTGTTCAGCTTCTCGTTCACGTTGTCTAGTAATGTCACCTGATGGTTTCCTGGCCATACTGTGAAGAAACCATCAAGTGACGCCACTAGACAAGCCATCACTCGAGTGGTACCCGAAAGGGAAGCGGCGAGTTGGTCGTGAGTGGAAGGGAGACTTGAAGGAGGTCATGTGAAGAGGAGATGAAAGCGTGTTGACAGACTTGGAGAGGGATGAAAACGCTGGCAGGAAACCGAACGCTATGGAGGCGCGCGGATGAAGCCCTATGTTCCTCTAGGATTTAAAAGAAATAATAATGATACTCGTTCATGGAGGGCACGGTTACAGCTTTCTCGAAAAGAAATATTTCTTTGCTGAGCGAAAACTGTGTCTCTGGTTTGTGTTTAGAAATCGGACAATAACGCAACTCTCTGTCGCTCCAGTATATGTGCTCTGGGACATATGTTCATTATTAAGTGGAGTTTGAGATAGGTAATGCAGGAAAAGTTGTGCTTGACAGTGATCTCATAGTGCTAATCGAAAATTGAGGTCTTGATCCTGGAAGACAAGAACGCAGATAGTGCCAGTGAAAGATACTGAAGGGGACTCAATTTTCAGAGGCGGAACAAAGGAACTACGATGCACTATTGAACCCGCAAGCACAGGTGTCATAAATTTGAATATGACTTCAGAGATAGATAACTCAGTTCTGTTAATGATTTCATGATTAACCTGGTGAAATTTGTAATACCGTAATATCTATATCGATTGGTGATTTGTTTTACAAACTTACATTTAATCCTACCATGTCAGTTACAGAAGACGTATTCAATCAGTTTTATAAACCTAAATCAAGTGGATTTGTTGAAGTACTGCCATTTATAACAAATTAAAAATGAATAATTGCCAGGATACGACTGTTCATAAATTTTATTTCACTTTTTTTTTTAATTTGCAAATATTGAAAACGAATTAAAAGGTTTAAAATCTGAGTACAGTTCTAATTAGTAGATGAATCCTCTCCAGAACGTTCACCAAGGTCAATTGTATCACGAAGCACTTTGGAAACTATTTCACGTGCTATATTTATATCATCTCTTGGATTGTTGTATGTTGTTGATGAATATGTATGATCTAGTCGCAAACTACCAAGGGGAATTTCACCACTTTCACTAACATTACTTCGTAAGATATCAGTTTTCTTCCGTTCACCAGGTAAATCATCTTCATCGTAGGCTTCATCATCGATTGTTGTTGCATCGTCATCATCATCATCATCATCATCATCGTCGTCGGAATGTACAAGTTCAACTTGACGTAACATTGAAACTTTAGTTTCACCTTCACCAATCGAATGATCTTGAGTAAAATGATTAAAAAAGAGGGTAACAATTAGAATGTATTCCACAAACACTGATCATGAATTGCTTGCTGACTTTATAAGTAAAATCTACATTTAATCTGTGTACATAAGAAGAATAAACTTAGCAGTTATGGTTGCCTTAGACATTTCGAAAAACCTACACACACACACACACACACAAAGACATAATTTATTTCAAAAGGACCCATCCAACTGAATCTTAGGCCTAAGTCAAGATGAATATTCTGCCACGTGTGTCTGTTCTGAATTCGTCAAACTGATCTCTCCTGTGTATAGATCACCTAGACCTGATATAAGTATAAAACTTGGGCACTGTGGTAGAGTAAGTATAATTCCATTATGGATAAGATGTTATTTTGATAAATAAAGCAGGAATTAGGGTGGAATTCAAACCTACAAACTCACTCAGGGACAAGGTCTGTAGGTTGAAGGACCCTGTTGACCCGATTAGACAAAATAATATAATTTACAAAATACCATGCAATGACTGTGAGGTCAACTACATAGGTCAAAGTAGTAGGTCGGGGTAGTCAAATTATCAGAACGTAGGAATTTAGCTAAGGTAAGAATGGTTGACCTCGAGAAGATAAGTAATTTAGAAAAAAGCTCAGCTATTTCATTTCACGCAATAACACACAACCACACAATAGGGTGGGTGGGAAAGGGTTAAAATTCTAAAAAGTAATCTAGGTAGGTGGAGAAAGAGATTGATTACGGAATCCTTGTTCATTGAATCTACACCGAACACATGCAACAGAAATAACTCAATGCAAATACCAGAGATATGGAATACATTATTACCGCTGGTCAAATCAGAAGAGGATAATAAATAATCTTAAAATTCTATTTCAATTCAAACACATCACAACATTCTAACAAGTAGCTTATTATGACTATAAAAAACACTTGTTTTATTGATTAATAACACTCGTTTTATTATTTCTTGGTGTACATGATCTCATGCTGGTTTTTAATCCAATGTCTAATCGATTCCACACATGTATATAAATGAAAGAACAAAGTTGTGTGAGTAACTTGATATGATTATGAGGGGCAATAGTTTGTGCTCGAAACGTCATTAGTTAATATTACTGTTTAACTCCACTGTGTGATTTATCAAAATAAAATCTTATCCATAATGGAGTTACACCTTTACCCGACTATATGGAATGACAGCTTGCTATGGTAGCTATAAATTAAAAGTTAGCTCGCCAACCACGCATGTGGTCCGACGTTCTATCCTCAACCGACGCACTGTTTTACTTCGCCAAGCCAGTGATAATACTGGTAAAGAGGGAAGACTGGGTATGAGGCTAGCATCCCCATCCCGTAAAAATAGACACCACTGCTACCGAAACTTTAAGCCTCTTGTTTGAAGCCCTATATTCCACTGAGAACGTAAAGGAATAAAAAGTAAGACTGGAGAGCGAAATAATTATTTGTCACATAGCGACTAGATAATATGATAATTATAAATTGTGAAACCGAGAATAAAATGTACAACTACGACACAGCATGATATTTGATAATACAGATAGCATTACAAATAAAACAAAATAAAATACAGCTATTTACTAGGGAGAGAGATTAAACAAACTTCTTCTGAACATAGAGATTGAGTTGGAAAATCATTATGGTAACTGCCTCACCTATGCTTAGCAGCCAGTGACGTACCGACCTATGGAGTTGTGGTAGCATCTTGTATAGAGTTTTAAAAGCTGAATTTTCATGAACCCTGTGTCTCAAACCCACTAGGTGTGCTAGTGCTAGTATGGAGCTTCTGACTGAATTTAAGGCTCCTCTACAAAACCACGTTGGACAATGCTCCAGAAGGCGAGTGAGTATGGGCTTACCGAGTCGTTCTACCTATTTAACTGTCTCCCCATGAATAGTCAACATCAATATCATGCTGTGCTGTAGTTGTACATTTTACTCTCGGTTTCACAATATTTTATTATTATATTATCTAATCGCTATGTGATAATAGTTATTTCGCCCTCTAGCCCTTACTAGTATGCACATTCTCTACCTGTACACTAACCGTTGCCTAGATTATATTAACAAATAAATGAATTTACACATTATTATTATTATTATTGTGACTATTATTATCCGACTATCGACCAAAGGGCGGGTGTACTGCTCATCAGTCCGCTCCGTCCTCCTTTATGGCCAGCTGTGAGACCTGGCCATTGAGAGTGGAAGACATGAAAAAATTAGCTGTCTTTGATGATAGCTGCCTGCGTTGTATTTCCCGTGTGAAGTGGTATAATAAGGTGAGCAATATTGAGGTTAGGCGTCGAGTTCTAGGTAAGCAGGGGAAATCGATCGACGAGGTTGTGAAGTTACATCGACTGAGATGGTTAGGACATGTGTTACGTATGCCTGGTCATCACCTTCCTCGACGGGCAATGTTAGCTTACATAGGGTCAGGCTGGAAAAGAGCTAGCGGCGGTCAAACCAAAACATGGCACCAGTCAATGAAGTCCACAACAGTTAGCCTAAGCCACGTAGGAAGGTGTAGACTTCCTGGTTGGGGTCCGCGGAACAGTAAAAACCAATGGTTGGAAACAATTGGTGACATGACTCAAAATTGTTCTCAATGGCTGGCGGAGATGCATCCACTCCTTGTGATCTATGATTTCCAATGAAACTGTTTTGTTCTTCGTCACTACTATTGCTTTGTCTCACACCTCTGTTTACTGTCTCTATTATGCATTTCTTGTACTATCTTCTCTTGCTTTGTGTGCTACAAGGAGGGAGTTTGGCGACTTGAACTGCCGCACATATGTGCAAAGTTCTATGTCGAAAACAGACAGACAGACAGACAGATTGTGACCACCTTGATTGTTATCCATTAACTTACATCCCTGAAATGTAATCCTATATTTTATTAACCACATTAATTCAAATGAGAATTTACCGAAAATACCTATTTGCTAAAGTCGAGTTCTGCAATTTATATTCACTTATGGATGTTACTCAAGGCAAAACAAATATTATTTCAACAAGTGACTATAACCAAACAAGTGTTTCTTTTTATTTTGGAATTCCTAACACAGCGTTAGCCGTATTCATCTTTCGATTTTCTTTGTAAAGCAGCATTCCATATTAGTTTGTTTATTAGATGTATCACACAGTGAAATAGTATTATTTACTGGATGATGTTTCGAACAAAATTTATTACTGTTCATAATCATATCAATTATAATCACACGACTTCGAAACTTGAGTTTTATGGTTTTCTTTGTCCTCTCCTATTTGTCGTAGGGGTAGTAGGATTTTCCAGATATCTGGGACAGTTGTTGAATCATTCCTATTACACGTATGCTGTCTCAGTTGATTCGATAAACAAAGCTTCTGTTATCAATCTCTCCCTCCACCCTGAGACATTAGATTTTAAAACTGTCGTCCTATCCCATCCAGCCTATTGTATGGTTGTGTGTAACTGCATGTAGTGCTATAGCCAGCTGAACTATTCTCTAGATTTCTTATCTTATTTGAGTCAACCAATCTAGATTTTGCTGAATTTTTATGTTCAGCCAGTCTGACTGCCTCTGTTCTACTAGTTTGACCAATGTATTTGACCTGAAAATCATTCAAGTAGGGTATTAGATAAACTAAATTGTTTTGTTTCAAAGGCTCCACAGGATCCTTTAACCGACAAAGCCTGTTTCTAATTGAGTTTGTGGGTGACTTGAATGCCAGCCGCTTTTATTCCTGCTTTGTTAAGAATTCTACGTAAGGCTTCCGAGGTTCCTTTCTTGTATGGTATTGCTGCTGATGATTCAGATTCCTTATTGTTGGTGTCGTCATTAATAATGATAATAATAATAATAATAATAATAAATGCACAAATTACGCAGTACTAGTCTCATGATGACTAGCGAACCAATAATACTGAGAATGAATGTGAAACATTGACAGTGTTCAAAATAAATGTAATAATCATAATGCCTGACACGGCATCAGCTATTTTATTAAATCATTCAAATACACTAGAATAAGCATATCGGGATTGTAGCTAGTCAGTGGTCCAACGTGACTTTGAATGGCTTACACAATTACTTGTGACCTCAAACCTTGTGACCAGAAAAACAAATCGAAACTAATGTAGCACTTACTTTTTTTCTTTGAAGTCAACTTTTTTGTCGGTTCATGTGTTGATAATTTTGGTTTAACTTCGCCTAATGATTTAGACGATTCATCATTAAATTTAATATCAACACCAGGAGACTTTGATTTGACTGGATGATATTTTCGCGGAGAATTATTCACATTAGATTGTTTTACTTTGACTGATGGTAATGAACTACCAGAAAGACTAGTAGCCAAGGCTTCAAGACTATGCGAATGTACAATATTGTTGACAGATTTGTGATGATTTTCTTTTAACTTTTCTTTTAATTTCTTTAATTCTTTACGTGCATAGTCTGGAAGTTGATTTTTATTAAAATTATTTGAATTTTTCAAAGCCAAAACATGAAGCACAGGATTATTAAGTGGATTTAAGTGTTTACGATGAAAATGATCAGTATTCATCAAAGCATCTGGAAATTGACCTGGACTTATTTGTTCTTTTTGTGATTGTATTTTACTGGTTCTTGAAGGAGAAGACGGAGAACTATCGGTGGAATTTGTACTTTTTGAAATACTGAATGTTAATGTTAATGAATTCTATTTTAAAAAATAATAATAATAACACAAGAAAGAGGTTTAGACATTATTTTGGTCGTTTATACACGTAATTCTTCATTGTCAGGCATTTAATTCAACTCATCTAAGTGAATTAAATTATTCTTCAGGCGTGGATTTCCCCTGTTCTCTTATAGTCAGTATCTGAATCTTATCTTAATAATAATAATAACAGCTTTATTCCAAACAGTATTTGTGGTACAGGTATGGAATTTTCAGCGTGCATTACAATATATTGCATCTAATTACCTCATAAATTATAAAAGATTTTAAAATCAAAAAGCAACACCAAAAAAAAGATAAATAAAAAGAAAACAGCGTTGCGTTTACATTTTAAACAATGCACCACAGGATATGAAATATAAAATTGGTGTATAATAGAAGATGAGAACAACAGTGTAATAGTAACGGAGAAAGGAAAACAAAAACTAATGGGACTATTTGTTAGAGTGCCGCAATAAGTTTATCGTGTCATACCTAACGGATTTCTCATCACATAACAGCTGTGCCAGATATGGTATTGTGGAGTTTTTGTATTTGGTGGTCCTAGCATATAGCCGCCTATAGCTGCTTCTAGTTCTACCAGATGAAATGCAAGGAGAGAGCTGCTTGTAGAGAGAATGCTCGGGGTCTGACAATACTGTATTCGCTAGTTTCTTACATGACATTATATGTCTGTCCACAATATTGTTAACTAGTTGGTGCATCGGTGGCTCAGGGGTTAGGACTCTCGCCGAGCATGCACATGGTTCGGGGTTCGATCTCCTGCCGACGTACACTTGATATCTATGGTCGGCCTGCGAAATTTGGGCTACCGATATCCATGCTGAAAATTCCATACTTTTACCAAAAATACAGTGTGGAATCAAGCTGTAATCAAAAAACAAAAAATAAAACGATATCCCACTTGCCCTACTAACAACTTTTAGTGCCCTTCTCAGCAAAGCAAAGTCTTTCTGAAGTAGTCCAGGAAAGATTAATGGGGAGGAGTAAAGGGGGATGGGTAGAATACAAGAATTTACAAACTGAGAAAGCAAAGACTGCTTTATGCCAGACTGCCTAAATTTCCTAATGTAGAACGTTAAGCGAAACATCTTTCTAGTAACTAGTAAGATGTGGGAGACCAGAAAGATCGGTGGAAAACTCAACCAAGGTACTTGACATTAGATATATTTTCAACCTCTGTGCCGTCAATGATAGTGGGGCCATGTGAGCTAACTAGTTGTTGTTGGTCACGTTTACGTCTGAAAGTGAAATTGACTACCTGATATTTAGACGGATTCAGCTTAAGACCGTTTGAAGAGGACCACTGACTAATTTCCGATAGAAAGTTATTTAAATTGGAACAATCTGGCTGAGAGTTGTTGACAGGCATAAAAACAGAGAGGTCATCAGCATACTTTTCTTAAGTATGCTGATGACCTCTCTAAAGCTACACTTTGCAGAGTAACATCCGAAGTGTAAAACACAACGAATCATCAGTAATATCACCTGTCTGTCTGTCTGTCTGTTTTCGACATAGAACTTTGCACACATGTGCGGAAGTTCAAGTCGCCACACTCCGTGTAGCACGCGAAGCAAGAAAAGAAAGTATAAGAAAAGCATAACAGAAACAGTGAGCAGAGATGTGAGACAAAGGAGTAATAAAGAAAAACAAAAGTTTCATTGGAGATCATAAGTCACAAGGAGTGGATGCATCTGCGCCACCTGGCCTCAGTAAATCACTAGTCACGATCCACTGGAATCACTATTCAGCAGTGAGTACAAAGGCTTACATACTCTCCAACAGAAGCACCAGAAGTCTAACAAGCGACTGTTAAAAAGAATTCATGCCATTCTCAGTCTCAATCCCCATGACTGATTTGTGGAAACTTCAGTTTCTTGTTAAAATTCTGTCTCTATGAGCACACCATGTGCAGAAAGTTTCAAAAAGAGGTTAAAGTTAAGTGTTCTGTAGCATACACATTTATATGATTTGCCGATCTCTAAGATACACAGCTTCATCGGGAAAAGGCACGATCGAATCACGGGACTTGTATGCTTTTCCGCCGGATGACATCTGTGAATTCATACCCCCCCACACCCCGACAAACAAAAAAATAAAATACACGAAGGCGTTATCATCGCGAAAATATATCAAACTTGTCTGCTTTTTCTCCCATAGACAGTTGCTGCTTGGGAATGCATACTGACTATGCAGGATCACACAAGAATAATAACCTTTTAATGGTTTCAAATGCCTGGACACCAATGAAGTAAATTAATCTCCATGGAGAAAAATTCATCTATGAATTTCCTTTAAAAATCTGAGCGAAGAATAAACAAGTATTGGTGCTGGGTAACATGGATCCATTTTATTTCGTTAGTTCTCATCAGCTGCATACAGCCTATAATCTTTAATAAATAAAAATCTAAGTGAAATGTAACAGACTTTTGTCATCAACAAGCATATTGTAACAGTGTCATGTTGAGATAAAAAAGTCAGGATGGTAAGGTAGGTGAAGTGTTAGTATATATATATATATATATCTTGTTAGAGAGAAGTTTCTGGAAAATTAATTGACAGGTTTTTCCTTAGGGTGGTGACTAAACAAATTAACAACAATTACGTAGTTAGACAAGAGAAGATCAAAATTTGGTATGCATTAGGTCAAATGAAGAGATGACGATGTAATATCGTAAGGTCAAACAGAAAAAAAGGAGGGAAGTTGAAAGGAAAACAAAGAGTTATTACGGGATGATTCACTACGGTAACTGAAGTTTAACGACAGATTTCTTGTGGATACATCAGTGAGGTTCCAGCCATTTTATTGCGATAGCCTTAACATACCGAAGAAGACTTGAGCTATTTTGTTTTTTTAATTATTCTGAATGACGCCAGCGCATCTACTCTGTGTCTAGTGTCTATCAGGTGTTTAGTAAATGAAGAGATTAAACTACTTGGCCCCTTTAACCGGAAGCTTCTTGGTAAATATTTGAAGAATCTGATATAGACCCTTCTTTTTGTTCCTCCAATGAAACTGCTCCCACAGATACATATGCTTGGTATAGACAGTTGGAGGTATCATATGACGGGCATTTGTCGATCTTTGACTGCACCAACGAGTAGGGTGCTCGCAGAGAATCGTCCTGGGCTGTGCTTAGTCTTTTATTTATTATTCCCTTTGAATCGTCGCCTTTGAAGTCGAGTTCGATGAGAATTGGCTTCTTGCTGACCGTAGAGCCACATCAGGTTTCTTACATTCATTCTTACCATATTTGTCATTGAAGCTCTGTGGTTAACCACTTTCTTTCAAGAAATTCTCCAGCAGCATTAGTTGACTTTTTAATTTATCCGGTGGCCATATTCTTTTCGCTCTGGAGAAAAGCGTTTCCACCAGCGTTTGTTAATAACTGACTGGGTAGAAGCTGTTGAAGTTTCAGTAGAGACTGCTCTGTGTGTCTTTACGATACATCGATCTTTCGAGTGTCCTATTCGTTTTCTTCCCCAAGTTTATATCCAGGAAGTGGAAACTGACAGCATCTACGTGCTCCATCATGAAAGTGATACTCTAATGTACATTGCTGAATAAGCCCAATAGAAATGAAGCGAGACGTAAATCATTGCATACAATGAATGCGTCATCTGTGTATCTATAGTAGGCTGTCCGAATTGATTATTCACTTCGTTGTACCTTGAAGCATACTTTCGTTTGACACTAAGTGGCAACTAATATCATGCATGAATCAAGTCCTTTCTTTCGGTGCAGACTGACATGACATAACACTAGTTACTACCTGGTGTCCATTGAAAGTATCCATAACAGTTTAACTGAAGGTCAATCGCGATTCGGAATAGCTCAGTGGTAATGTTTCTGACTGAAACACTGAGTCTCAGAAGCGACCCGAATCCCTTCATGAGTGCAGATGCACGAATCACCAGCATACTTCGAAATATTAAGTCATTTTTACAGGGGAACAAAATAGTGAGAGAAAATACATGATGTTAATTTTGATCAAGAGAAGAACTACTTCAAATTGCATTTTTATCCTAGCTGTTTCTTAGAAGAAGAAAATAACCACAAAGTTATTATAAGCCAGTGAGTTACAGGCAGGAGTGTTTTATAAATGGCTGAATGCATAACTCAAACGGCAACTGTTCGCAACATTTCTATTTCTTGGAGCAAATAACTAACTCTCCAGTCAGTCCATACATTGAAGTTGCAAGAATATAATGTAGGTCTGCTCATATGTGAATATTTTCATTACTCAATATATCCATAGTTTTTTAGATAGTGAGGCGTTATAAAAGTACACTTTGTATAACATGATAATAATTTGCTTTTTATTCCAGAAACAGTACTAGTGGTACAGTGAGGAATTTTCAGCACATATCTACAATATTGCATCTAATTTCATCGCACATTTAAAAGAAGTATTACAAAATAATAAATATAAAGACAACAACAACAACAAAAACCAAAAAGAAACACAAAAGTAACGAAAAAATGCAAATAAAAATCCCAAGTAGAAAGGAAGATAAACACCAATAATGAAAAATATTTCAGTATTTGCTAGTGGAAGCTTTGATATGTTTATGCGTGGTGAATAGTAACAGCTATAATCATACAAGAAATTATGAGATGTTCTTAAGAATACTTATAGCCAAGATGATCAGTTAATTTGATTGAACAACACTAAACAATCATAAAATAAACATTTCAGTTTGTGTTTTTTTTTATTGTCAGCACTAATGCGGTGTTTGTTGTGGTAGTGTGAGTAATCATGCAGAATACAAAATTTTTAAGATGGTGATAACGGCGTTCACAACCAAGATTGTCAGTTTTAATGTTACCGAACAAAAAACAACCACAAAACTAATATTACATGAAGGTTAATGACAGGACAATTTTGTAATACTCATAGTGCTAATATAGTCGGAACTAGCAAATACACAAAAGAAGGAATAGAATAAAGAATAAAAAAGTAAGCCAATGATAATA